TTGAGAACCCCCAATCCCGAGTTTGATTCCCTCGAGCGGCAGTCTCCCCTTTAGTGGGGGCCCCAAAACGCTGGCTACGGGTATAGTGGCGTGGGTGGCCTGGTAGGTTGGCTGTGATTTATGGACCGCCAAGCATGCTTGGCGAAGCCAGGCGTGACAGCAGACGGTTCCTCGTCACAAAAAAAAAAAGAACTTGTATACTAGAGGAGACATGAAATTGATAATGATATGATGGATTGATATTGATATGATAGGCATGATGACTTATTATTTTGGATTACTCCATTTTGTGTTGAATAACTCTATGATAGATAATACCCCACTCTGCTCTCTGTATTGGCTTTGAATAACTCTGAGTTGGATAATACTCTGCTCTGCTCTCTATGTTTGTTCTGAATAACTTTGTGTTGGATAATACTCTTCTCTACTCTCTGTGTTGGCTCTGAATAATTATATGTTGGATAATACTCTGCTCTGCTCTTTGTGTTAACTTTGAATAACTCGGTTTTGGATAATACTCTAATTTGTTCTACGTGTTAGCTTTTAATAACTCTGTGTTAAATAATACTCTGCTATGCTCTCTGCATTGGCTCTAAATATTGTGTTGGAAACTATAATGTTATGGCTCTGATTATGACTTTGATTTATAGATATGATAGATGATTGATATATGAGATATGCTATACAATGATTGATTGAGTGATGATATAATATACATGAGAATGATTGATTGATTGACATGACGGATATGTAGCAAACTAATAGGGTACTGACTTGAATATATTATATGTGACGGCAGTGACGCTTATGATAAGGCTAATTCATATGACTAAGACATGTATTTGATAAGACTGAATACGACGGATACAAGAGCATAAACATATATGAATTACTTGACTTACATATATTGTTCTTATTTATTGTTGTATGTTTTTATAGTTATATGTTTACATTACTTTGAGTTGAATGTTTACTATATATTTTTAATTTAATTAATTGTTTATGCAAATTTTCTTCTTGTCAGTATAAAATAGATCATTTTATCTTCATCACGTTCCGTGTTGTCTAAGTGTACCGTCTTCCGAACCCGGGGTGTGACATCGTCGGTGCCTTTTCCTTGTCCATCATGAAATTTGTTTCTCCTTAGCGCGAGTTGGTCCTATTGATGCCTTCGATCCATCCTTCATGAACTCCAGTTCTCTTTCACATGTGTTGATCCCATCAATGCTAGCACCATGTTTAATTTTCACCTTGTTGCTTTTTTCTCTTCCAAATTTCAAGCAAGTGATGTCGAAGCCCTTCACCATCGTTGCAATCTCTCATAATAAATGGCAAGCGAAGCACGAATGTAAGGGTAAGAACTAAGGTTCAAAATCCGTGCATATAAGATTCAAATCAGCATTGATTATATATATATTACTCAAACTCGATTTAATATGAGTGTCAATTTTTTACACTACTAGAAAATTTGATCTGAAAAATTTTGATTCGGGTCGACCCGATAATGGGTCAACCCGACAGCCTGAGTTTGACTCATTTAAGTTCGGGTTAGTCTTCTCCAGCTGCGGCCGCGAGCACTACTGCCGCTCAGTTGTTATCACTGATTGTCGTCTGCTGCTCCATGCCGAACCACACCACACCAGCACGCCCTAGAAAGCCAAACCCAAACCCAAACCGGCAAATGTCGAATGCCCCACCCGCACTCAGACGTCGAATCGTCGGACGGCTTGGCTGCTAGGGCAAGATACCAAGACCCAGTCGCCAACTTGTGCTCACCGACGGAACAGCAAGCAGCAAGCCCGCACGACTTCCTCGAGAGTCCTGCTAGGCACTCGACTCGACCTCTACAACGAATTCAGACGAACGACGTAGCTTAATCGGGCTCACGGGTCAAGTCGGGTCAACCCATAACCAGCGCGTGTTGGATCCGGGTTGCAAATCCCCACCCATTTATATAATCGGGTAGGTTTCGGGTCAACCCGTTTGCACCCCGGTCAACTTGAGTTTGACCTGAACCCAACCCGTTGACTCGAATTGACACCCCTATTTAATATCATTCATAATTGGAACCATAAAAAAACTCTCAAAAATAATAAAATAGTTGTATATACATTATAAAATATTTTTTTACTATGTGCATCATATTAAAAAAACTTTATACAAAAATTCATGATTATTTCATCCCTTTCATTATTTGATTAATGGATCAATACAATTGAGACAAATAACATATTCATATTATTTATTTTAAAAATATTATTAAAAACTGAACCTTAAATAATTTTTTTAATGTAAATTTATCTCTAAGATTGTATTTTTTTATTTCATATAACTTAAAGGATGAAAAATAAGAACCAATAAAATAAAAAATTTCAAAATAAATAAATAATTTTCTTGATATATGGCCTTGAAGAGAGAACAACAGGCCACGCATTCATTAAGAGGGATTACGTGGAATCATATAATTTCAACATGGCCAAAATCAAGACACTTGTTTGTCCCTTTCTTTCCCTTCGTTGTAAGCGCACAGCATATTTTGTTCCAACGGTACTCGTTGCCTTAATACCCTTGCCTTTCTCTTCTGAGAGATAATTTTTGGAGAAATTATTACGTCCAATCATCGAATTCTTTAGAGGTGAATTAAGATGCATCATATCACTCAGTACACAGCATCGATACACAGTAAAATGATAACGTGACGCGTATTGATTCGCCTCGGACGGTGTTTGGTGATCGCACGTAATAATTTCGCCTGTTTTTGAGCCTCTAATGTTCTAATACTTGAGTTGATTCATTTAAGCTTAGTTTTGAAGTTCTTTTTTAAATAGTTTTTTTAGTCTATTTTTTTCCCTGAAAAATTTTATACTAAAAGGATATTTTATAAAGCAATATGAAATTTGTTTTAAATGAATGCTTAATTGCAGGTCAAATTTGAATTGAAAATCTTGATATGATTAAAATTTTGAGTTGGATTGAGCCAAAAATTCAAAAGTGACCCACATATCATTCGGGTTCGGTGTTAAACATGTCAGATTCGGATTAAATGAGTCTTATTTGAATTAAATGGGTCAATTGATTTAAAAAAAACTATACGATCTGTATGATAAATATATCAAATATGTTTGATTTGAATTAGTCGTATTTGGGTTATTTCAATTGAGTCAATTTTGTGTCAAATTTGAATCCAACTCACCAACCTTAATTGACACCTCTACCTTCAAAAAAATTTTAAATAAATAAATATATCATAAAATAATAAATATGTAGAAATTTTGCCCCTAATTTTACACCGCAGCGAGATGCGTAACAGCAGAAGCCGACGGCAGCGGGAGCGGGACGTGCGACGTAGGGGACCTGACGCGGACGTGATGCGACGCGAACCTGACGCAGGACGCGACGCTGGCCATCCTGGCCTCAGGACGCGACGCTACACGACAGGGCGGGGTCATTCCGGGTCATTTCAGGTCATTCCCGGGTTCCCGGGTCAACCCGAACCTAACCCGATTTTTCAAACGGATAGGTTTTCCGGACCCGGCCCGCTTTGAGTTCGGGTCAACCCAAACACGAAATTTTCGGATCGGGTTTAGATCGGGTTTCGGGTCGGGTCCAATATTGATAACTCTACCTAATTTGCACCATATTAGTCTCCTCAAATAGGAAGTCATTAAAAAAAAGAAAAAGTCATAGCTGTTTTTGGTGGCGAAAGAAATTGCCCAATGGCAAGACACGAACAATTTTGACAATCCGTTCATGAACACGTGGCAAACATGCAGGTAGGCGTTTGCTGCGTCGTGTTAGAAAGAAACACCGGATTCAAATAGTTTGCCAAATAGGGAAGGAATATCCCATCAATATACCGTGGAATCCTCCTTTTGTGCGGCGAATATCCTCCGGATATTGCCTTTAGCCGCCTATAATTTCTAGTTGTGCAGAATTAAAAAATTCCTCTTTTTTTTTTGTTTAAAAAGACAAAAAACTCTACGCGGATAGGTTTTTCCCGAAATTACACAATCTCCCTTGGATTGGTGCACCGTTTAAATTTGCAAATTGCTACTTCCAATTATTGAAATTACGTAAAGCAAATTTCAGCCTTTAAAAGTAAATAAAAATTTTCTTCGAAATTAATTCAGAGTTAGTATTCTATTAAAAAAAGTCCCCTTCTTAAAAGTATAAGAAAGCTCTTATTCTTTTTTAGTTTCGATTGAGACAGTTTTTTTTATTATTTTTGAGAATAATATTTTAGTAAAAAAAGTTTCTAATTCTAAAATTTTTTACTAAAAAATTATTTCAACAAATTCTAAGAAGCTATCCCATAAAAAGTCTTGGATTTTATTTAGGACTATTTTTTTATTATTTTTTGAAGTAAATTTTTAGTAAGAAATATTTTATTTTTATGCTAAAAAATTACTTTATAAAGCATTAATTAAACATCACCAAATAAATCTTTAAACTAAGACAAATTACATTCAATTCAAGCAATCCAAAATAAATAGGAGAAACTATTTTGTGTGGCCACCGAACGATCCAGTGACGAATCAGAATGTGCCACATCACTTGGTACTGAGCAGTACACAGCCACGGTACACAACAAAAAAATAATGTGACGCATTCTCATTCTCCTCTGAACTCAGTTGGGTGACCGCACAGAATAATTTTGGGTGATTTACATACATACAACTTTATTTCATGCTATTGACATATCTTCCATTCAAAACTTTAATATTACATTACTACCACTCATATAAAATTTTAATATCAAATATATCACAGTTATATTTCATTCTTACAACACATATCATTTTATAAATTTTAATATTTCATTTCATGTAATCATAATTATTCTATGAATGATATATATGTAATATTAAAATTTTATAGATTAGATATGTAAATAGCATGCCCAATATTTTTTCGGAGCCGCTTATATGCATTTCCTTGATATGTGGGAGCGAAAAGAATTGGCGCATTTATAGGGGGTTTTCTGTAAGTTACCCAGCTGGGACTTTCGTGCCCTCTCGCTTTTAATAGAAGCTGCATCAGCGACATGGCTTTCCGTGAGCTCTGGCGGCAAAAGCCACCGGATTTTCTGTAGGAGAGGAGAGAAGAAAGAGGATTATTCGATAGAGATTGAAGACGCTTCAGTGGTCTTTTGCTTTGAGGTAATGCCAACCCTATTGGGTTCTTGCGATTTGCATTTTCCCCTCTTTTTCGCATTAAAACTTAATTATTTGGATATTGTGGCGCTTTTCCTCTGTTTAGGGTTAGATGACAGGCTTGATTGATATTTGGATGAGTGGAAGCTATTTTTGGGGTTTGTTCTAGGATTATTATCTCAGTTTCAGAGTTCTGATATCTTTGAAATTTATGGTTTTTTGGGATCAGGGGTTAGGATTGTAGGGTAATCATTCTGAAAGAATTACCGGACTTGAAATTTGAATCTTTTTTTTTTTTTCTTTCCGGTTCGAGTGTTCTCCGATTACGCAGGTGAATTGGATCACTGGGCTTGCTTTTTGAAATCTGAGTGATTTCGAAAAGAAAAAGCAAGCGAATTCAATCTCAGTCGTTCCAAGTGGTTTGGATGGCTGGAATTGTAGACGATCCGGATCACCGAATCACCGATTTTCATCAAATTAAGCAGTTTTTTTAAGTGAAAATTGATCATTTTGTTTATCAGAGGTCTTTTTTCATGTATTTTTAGGTGTATTTCCTTTGTTTTTTTCATATCGCACAGCTACCTTTTTAAAAAATGTTTATAGTTGAGATGGTAAAGTTTTACCATGCCTGGTGTTAAATCAATTCTTTTTCTTGCATCGACAACAGTATACTTTTTTTTTAATCTATCCAAGTGGTCTAAGCAACCTACTCAATTTTTCTTAGCAAATGGCTGTCAGAAATTATTAGTATTTTAGTGCGCGCGCGCGTATATATATATATCATGGTGTAGACAGGTTTTTGGCTATCTTTTATCAAATGTCTGAAATTTACCATGGCGGTTTTAAAACACTTAAATATTCAGAATGCTCACACTTGAAGAATCAAATTTCCCCAGGAGTGAAATTCATTAACTTTTCATTTTGATAATCAGTGAAATTATAGGTAGAAAATGTGTGATGAAATTAATAATAGAGAATTAACAAGAAAAAAAAAAGGGATAGACCTATAATTATATTGATAGAATGTGTTCAAAATGCTTTGTGAAGAATAAATTTAAAACCTCTAATAACACTCAACATGGGATGAACAAAAAATGAAGATTCATATCTCCGGCCCCAAATATTATAGATAAGCTAATAATTGTTGTGTAAGCTTATAAAATTAGTTCGACAGAATCGTAAGAGTATAACTGGAGTTGTCATCCATGTGTTATCAATTTTGGAAATTTGTTGGTATTTTCCACAATCTAATTTTATTTTGTTAATTTGCAGATTACTGGCAAAGTTTGAAAATTTTCCAAATCAAAGAGGAACCTGAAGATTGTCTTTCAGGGTAGCAATATCTCCACATTAATCATGGGTCCAGTACATGATATTGGAACCAATACCTCAAGAAACAAATCCATCAGAAAAACTGTTTTCAGCTTCAAGACATACCAGGCCATTGTTCTGTTATTGACATTTTTTGCATATGCCAGCTATCATGCAACAAGGAAGACAACAAGCATTGTTAAAGGTGTCCTTGATCCTCACACGACGCAATTGGGCTTCTCCCCTTGGACAAGGTCATACTTTCTTAAAGCGCAGCAGCAAGAACAACAACATTCTAAACTCCAAAATGGTTGGGCTCCATTTGATGGTGTACATGGTACCGCTATGCTTGGTCAGATTGATGTCGCCTTCCTTGCGATGTACTCCCTTGGCATGTACTTTACCGGACATTTAGGTGATCGGGTCGACCTCAGAATTCTTCTGACGGTGGGAATGGTTGGTACTGGTCTATTCACTGCTCTCTTTGGCGTCGGTTACTGGCTAAACATCCATAGCTTCTACTACTTCCTTGTGGTTCAGCTGTTAGCCGGTGTGCTCCAGTCAACAGGATGGCCCTCAGTTGTTGCTGTAGTAGGAAACTGGTTTGGTAAGAGTAAGAGAGGACTAATAATGGGTATTTGGAATGCTCATACCTCAGTTGGGAATATAGCTGGTTCATTGATTGCTTCTGCTTGTCTGAGTTATGGATGGGGATGGTCTTTTGCTGTTCCTGGTATTCTCATCACCTTTGTTGGTTTGATGGTCTTTTTTTTCCTGCCTGTTAGTCCTGATGCAATTGGAATTGAGAAAGAGGAGTACCTACTTAAGTCTCCTGAGAAGGACAAAATGACAGAGCCACTCTTGGAAGGCAAACCAGATAAAGAGGATAAAGCCATCAGCTTTTTTGCAGCTTGGAGAATCCCTGGTGTTGCTCCATTTGCTCTCTGTCTTTTTTTCTCCAAACTTGTGGCCTATACTTTCCTGTATTGGTTGCCCTTCTACATCACTGATACAGGTTAGCTTCTGGATTCAAACCGTATTATTCTGAAAATATTACCGTATGGCTTTACATGAGATTTAGGCTTCCTTTGGGACAGTTTTTTTATTGTTTTTTAAAACTGCTTTAAGAAGCAATAAAAAAGCCGCCCAAAAGAAGCCTTAATGCCCACTAAAAATCTTTTGTGGCTTTATATTTTGACCTATTAATTTCCTAACATGCAACCGTTGCAGCTATTGATGGTGAGTTCCTATCAGACTCAACGGCGGGGACCCTATCAACACTCTTCGATGTGGGAGGAGTAATTGGAGGCATTCTTGCTGGTCATATTTCTGATCGTTTTGATGCTCGGGCATTGACAGCCGCATGCTTCATGTACTGTGCAATCCCAGCCATCTACTTCTACCGCATCTATGGAAGTGCCTCTCTCTACTGCAACATTGCTCTCATGCTTGTTAATGGAATGCTCGTCAATGGCCCATATGCACTGATAACTACCGCAGTCTCGGCGGACCTCGGCACTCATAGTTCCTTGGATGGGAACTCTCGGGCTTTGGCGACGGTGACGGCGATCATAGATGGTACAGGTTCTGTCGGTGCGGCCATCGGTCCATTGCTGACTGGATACATCTCAGCCAAGAGCTGGGGTGCAGTGTTTATAATGTTGATGGGGGCTGCTCTTGTAGCTGGGCTGCTACTAACCAGGCTTGTGGTGGCAGAGCTATCCACCAAATTAGAATCTGTAAAATTGAAAACAGCAGGGACGGCTTCCTTGCCTGAGCCGAATCTTGTGGCTCATGTTGTGTAAGTAAAAAAAAATCATAATTTAAGCTTCGTTCGGAACGGTTTTTTTACTGCTTCTTAAAGCAACTTTTCAGTATAAAAATTAAGATTTGTGGACTAAAAAACTGCTTTAAGAAATAGTAAATAAGCTGTTCCGAATGAAGCTTTAATGTATAGCGAAGATTTCAGAGGTTGAAATTGAATAGGAAGGAATGTGCTCCTTGTTTTTTTTTGTATGAGCAAGTGGCCTTCTTGTGATTGAAGCTGATTGCTTAGTAGGATATCATAACAAAGTTGGGATGGATTTGACAAGTCTGCTGTTGCTGGTTCCTTCTTCTTTCACGGTATTATTGCTTGAGGTGGTGGATAATTAGTAGCGGCACGTCTTATTCTCCCCATATGTATCTATGTGAAGGAGAAGCAAGAGCCTCATTTTCTTTGACAACGTTAATTCTTGGCTTTTGTTTGTGTATGCTATTATCCAACATGTCATTATCTTCTGCTTTGTATTTATGTTAAGGAGAAAAGCTAGTGCAGCAACTGATGTTGATTTGGGCAACTGACATAGATTTAGGCTTCGTTTGGAACGGCTTTTTTATTGCTTCTGAAAACGGAGTTTTAGTACAAAAATTAAAAAATTTATACTACAACTCCGTTTGAAAAAGCAATAAAAAAGCCGTCCCAAATGAAGCCTTAGGCTTCGTTTGGGATGACTTTTTTCAAAGTCATCCCAAATGTTAGATTTAGTTTGGAACAATTTTTATATTGTTTTGTAAAGCATTTTCTTAGCTTTTTTTTTTTTTTTGACCAATAAAAAGGTAGTGGTAAAAAATTGTCTCAAACAAAATCTCAATCTTCGCTTGAGATAATTTTTTTTTGTTGTTTTTTAAAATAATTTTTAGTATAAATAAGTTTAGTTTAAAAAAAAAACTTGTATTAAAAAGTTGTGCTAAATGAAAGCTTAAGTTTTATTTGAGATAGTTTTTTTCATTATTTCTAAAATAATTTTTACTACAAAAATTTTTGAATTATAATTTTTTGTATGAAAAATCTACTTTAGAGAATTGTAAAAAAGTTAGTGGTCATTATTTTTTTATTACTTTCAACAAAATTTTTGTGCTAAAAATTGCTTTAGAAATGAATAAGAAAATTTTCTTGAATGAGGCATTAGGATGATGTTAAGTTATAAATTAATGGAATAAGCTGTTGTGATATATGGAGTTACTGCCATAAATCTCTTCATTATGTATTTTAAGGAAGGTGTTTTTGAATAAAAAAGTTCTATTTTTATTGATATATTATAAAAGAAATTGTTTTGATTGGGCATGAATCCTGAGGTTTATCCATGGAATTTCTTTTAAAATTAAAATATAAATCATTCGAGCTTTGATTTGAACAAACTTATAGTCAAATTGAACATCTCTAAGAGACGAACCAAACAACACAAAAAATCAATTCAATATGAACCCAAACGATGCCAGATCAAAGGTCCAAAACATATTTGAAAGATTCAAAATATTAATTGGATATCAAAATGATTGTTGAATATGACATGCTTATAGTCGAATCAAGCGGCTCGACGAGACGAATCCAATGAGTACAAAATCATTAAAATCTGACATCATTAAAACACTTAAATGCTCTATAAATGTGGCCCTATAAATGGTGAAATTATTATGTGCGGATACAGACACTATCCAGAGGCGAATTAGATCGCGTCACATCACCCTTTTGTTGTGCACCACGGCTATGTACTTGATGACATAACACATTCTAATTTGACTCCAAATGATCCGATGTCCGCACATAATAATTTCTTCTATAAATGCCAATAAAAAAAAAATTCACAAAGCATAATCAGGTAACTTTGGAGAGGATATCAAGCATCACCTTATCCTGCTTTGTAATGAAAAGTAATGACTTGTTCCGCATCAATAGATGCTCGAATAGAATCCAAATCTGAACCCTAAGCTCTCAGGATGCTATAGAAAAAATACAAAAGCATCCAATTTCACTTCATTTGAGATAATTTTCTTACTGCTTTCTAAAATATTTTCTAGAACAAAAATTATTTAAAAACAGCAAATAAATAATAATAATAATAAATTATCCCAAATAAAACCTTCAGCTCCACAATGAACATTCTGCATGACACGAAGCAATCAAAATATTCTATTTGCTTGCCTTTACTTATTAGTCCTCAAGCTTGAAGGGTTACAGAATCGGCATCCAAAAGTGCCAATTATTATCACAATAATAAAACAGATAACTAAGCAAAGTTCATCTTCCTGAGGCTGAGTGATACATTAGATTTTTGGTAGCACGGTAGTAGAGCTGTCAGGTGGTAAGCCACTATCCACCTGGAAAGAAAATAGAGAGTTTAACAATTAAATTATCTTCTTAAATAGTATGAGGATGAATTTGAAAATTGTTTGCCCATCTGAAGGGAGAAATTATCTTGTGCGGAAGCCGAATGCAGTTCACTGTCCGGAGACCAACCAAAATGCGCCACGTCAGCAGTGCCAAGCACGGCACCGAGCCGCGGTACCGAACAGGGGCACGTGACGCATTCTGGTTGGTCTCTGGATGGCGTTCGACGTCCGCACAGAATAATTTGCCATCTTAAGGAGGGGGAGGATATTCAACATGACTAAGGGTTAGTTTGGGGGCGGTTGTAATTGCCTATAAAAATATAGCTGTAAATTTGTTTTAAGAAAAGCTATTTTTATTTTTTTATGAAGCTGGTATGGGTATTATAAATTAAATTCCTTAAAAATTTTGGCTAAATTTTTTATCAAGTACAAAACTCTAGTAGATCTGATGTAAGAAACTACTTCTCACCACCAAAATTAATGAAAAGCAGCATGAAATTATAGCTAAACTGAGATGTGGTGGTTGTCTGAAAACAAAGTTATGAAAAAGCTACTCCAAACATATCCTAAAAATGAATAATCCTAATCCCATATTATAAGAGACTAATAAATGAGCTTATCAGGGTAAATACTCTTAGAGAATGTGAGTCAAACGGATCAAAATTGGAAGATGAGAACAACACACCTGAAGATATCTACTTAACAATGTTGTGGTACTAAAGTTGAAGCCCTCAATAGGCTTCTCTGATTTGCGAGACAAGTTCAACTGTTTTCTGACTTGGGAGGCAAGTGACTGCAATTCCAACAGCCAAAACAAGCATTATTATAGTACAGGAGGTCTAAGCAAGATAGATAGTTACCGAATTCTGAAACTCTAATGCTTTAGGGCAGGTCATATTATCACGTACCTTGCCTAACTCCACACCCCATTGATCAAATGAGTTGATACCCCATATGAAGCCCTCAACAGCAATACGGTGCTCGTATATAGCTAAAAGCTGGAAAGAAGAAGATTTTTTAGTCATGAATTTCCACAAAGTAGAAGACCAAATTAAATAGAATCAGCTATATTCAGAGAGATATGATGCCTATTAACATATATCTAGAGTTCTACAATACATATGTGAAAGCAACGGTTAAAATTTTGATAATAAATATATGTAAAATTCTTCAAATTGTATTGAGATCAAATCTTTTGTTCTGAAAATTGTTTTAATATTTTAAAGGACCTCACTAAATAGCATTATAAAGAGAAAGAAATGGCGCAAAATTGAAGTAGAAGTCTTCGTGTTATTATATGCATATAGACAAGTTCGGTTCTTGTTCCATCAATAGCAAAACATCATTTTCCTTTTTTTTTCTGTTTCCTCATGTTTGTTCTGTGAGCTACCAAAATGCAAATTAGGAGAATTTTCAATGAATTATAGAATCTTCTAATTTCAATAAATAGATTCAATAATTTACAAATTAATGACCTCCAATGATGTGATAAACAATTTTTACTTTGTACAATAAAAACATTTATTTGTTATTTATTTTCTTATGAAATATTAAAATTTTGTAAGGATTATATTATTCATTGGAATGAAAGATATCTGTCTACTATTTTTTACTTTAAAGGTGGCTAATTCTTGCAAAAATTGAGAGTTGATATCATGTAGATAATATTTTTGTCAGTTATTGATGTGCATATCATCCTAGGTTGAATTAACAAACTCTAAACCCATATTATCCCACATCAAATTAATGTCAAAGCTTATGATTGCAAATTATGCCGACTAAAAATAGAAAATAATACTATAGGCTCCAAAAATTCACATATCTTTTGAGAGAGTTTAAGGAGTTTTTTTGGGTCAAATTTTTAGAAAATAAATTAGATTTAAGAAAATATACTACCTAAAGATTTCACCATTTTTGTTAGAACATTATAACATGGCTCTAGGTTCCCATAGGCGTAAGCTCTTATGATTATTAACCTTTCCCGATAATGGCAGAGAACTTTCGATTAAGGATAGTTATTAAAAGTTGAATGCTTAGTGTATTATAATAGTAAATTTGGTATAGAGTTTGAAATTTATCATCTTACACTTAAAACTAATGGTAGGGGGAATGATGATAAAATTTATCAAGATCTCATGGTTCTGTCATCCCTAGTTGTCATGGACCCTAGGCCCTAGCCTATTTAGCTAGAGGAAGTAGTCAACCCAAATCAAAAGATCCTTGTCAGCAACCATGAGTTGCATAATCTAGAGGAACCTTATAAAGTTAGCCTTAGATAGCCTTCTACACCATCAAGTGCACTTTATGATTAATTAATCAAGTGTTTTTTATCCATTACAAAACTTGTGGGCTTTGCCATGAACAAAATTAATAAGTGTTATTTCGTCGCAAAACCATCATATTAGAGAATCCTAATCATAACCATTTATCTTACGTGCCTATTTAGCAGTAAAACCACTAGTTAATGGACACATATTACGTCTTTACTGGTGAGAGATCCTTTAAGAATAAAGCATAATGATACGTTCGATGAGACATTAGTCATTTATAAGCTGAGGTTACTCTCAAAATTATCACTCTTAACAAAGGGTTGCAAAGGGTACATAAATTTTGTTTTAAGTTTTAAGGGATTAATTTCAATTGAAATCAATAATTTTTCATTAGTTTTCTTGATATCTCATATTTTGCTTGAATTGAAGCCCAAAATTATTTGCATTAGGATTTGAGATTGGTATTTTGAAACTAGTCCCTTTTGGTTGAGATTTATAGTGAACATGTCCATCATTGGGGCACTTAAATTTTTTTATTTTATCATTTGAATTTTCTCAACTCTGTTCACGTCCTAACAACAAATAAGGTTTGAATGTTAACTTTAGTGAGCTATTCTATGAGCGGTGAACTCAAGAGTTTATATTATGTTGTGAGCTTCTTTTGTAAAAGGCATTGAAAGCCTAATGAGAACTTAATACCAATTAATTATTGTTGATTTCACAATTGCACAGTTATTTGTGAGTAAGATTTGTAATGTACTATTTGCAACTTATATATATATTGAGATGAATTAAATTTAAATTCATTCCTAATTTTTAACCTACACAACATTCACCTCAATTTTAGAAGTTCAATGTATATGGTCAAAACACATAAAAGTATTTTGACTTTTCTTTTGAGTGACATGCACATTTTTTAGTGTGTTTACACAATTCATTTGTACACTTTTTGACACACTTGCGTATTGCACTCGCACAATTTTTTGTGTACTTGCAAAGTTTTTAGTGTGCTTACATAATGCACAAGCTTTTCAGTTCATTTACGCAATTCATTTCAAATATTGAGATGAATCACATGCATTTTTTAATCTTCTACATGCTTCTCAATGTATATATATATTGAGATGAATCGCATGCATTTTTTTAGTGTACTTGCATTTACTTTTTCAATATACTTGTATTTTTTAATGCACCTGCATAATGCACTTACATGCTTCTCAATGTATTTGCACAATGTACTTGCATGCTTTTCAATATCTTTACTTAACTCATTTGCATTTTTAGAGCTCTGGCACAATTCTAGAAGCAAAATGCATGCTTCTCGAGTACGTGCATTTCTCAAAGAAACGACACTTCTCAATGCGGCGGTATGCTTCTCAAGACAACAACACGGTTCTCATGCAAAGTTCGTAATCAATTTACTTTTAGTCCGCACAACAATTTTGGACATTAAATTCAAGCTTTCAGTAAGTTTGTCAGAGCACATGCAAAAATTTTAGTTTAAAAAGATCTAATTTTGTATCTCTAAGGATTATAATCGCCCAGCATCTTCCCACTCATTTCCATAATTCATTAAAATTACACTGCATCACAACTTAGAGTCCCCTAGGGAAATCCCATGTAAGACAGGTTAATATAGGAGGCATTTTAATCAGCAAAGCAATATGCAGATAACTTATGAGGACATCGGAGATCAATGGCTACGATCGTGTCTATTTATTTTGATGTATTTTATTTGTTATTTGTACTTTTCCATTTCTACCCTCACTTGAGGGCTTTGTTTTATGTTTGCCCTAGGGGCAATTGTGTCTTTTTATTTTCCTTAATGTATTTGGCTATTTAAGCCCTCCCCTTCCTCTTAGAAAGGGATGATGATTATTGTGAATGAAAATGTTAGTGTTGGATCTCTTTGTGAGTTCTAGAGTTCTCTTTGTGAGTTCCCAAGTGGGAAAGCCTATGAGAGGCTCAAAGCAATACCCAACAGCCCCTTGGTGTAGCTCTTGATTTTCTACCCCATATCTTTTCTTCTCCTCTACTGTTTTCCCCACCCACCCGCCGGCACTCTTGGCCCCAAAGCCACCGGCCACCTCCACTCACCGCCGGCCTCCAACTGCCAGCGCCCAGCCACCGGTCTCCAGCGACCGGCGCCCAAGCAGCCACCACCCGCCGGCCCTCCACCCGTCCCCCTTTGGTGTCGTTCCCCCCTCCCCTCTATCCGCCGGCCTCCCTCCATGGGATTTGAAATTTCAAATCTCCCATGAGACATAATTGACTTTCCTTAATTAGATCCTTGATTTTGGCAATTTTCTTAATTTTGTTTCAAGCCATATTTGAAATTCAAATCAATTCTCTTGATTGTCATGCATTAGGAAACTTCCCTAAATTGAAACCTGAAGTTCCGTTCAGATTTTTGTTATTAAAATCTGTCATTAATTGAGGGCCCCATTTTATTCATTACCAAGCTCCTTTCTCTCTCCTTATGGCCGGCCACCTCACCCCATTGCTTCTCTCTCTAATTTCCACCTCACTATCACTTAAATACCTCTTTAATGCCTCCCCTCACATAATTAATTCCAGATTTCATCAGTTTCAATTTCAGATTTCAAAATTTGAAAATTGAAATGGATTCCCTCTTGCCTTGGACCCGCCACCCCTTTCCTCCTCCTCCTGATTTCTCTCTTTTATTAATTCCCAATTAAAAGCCCCTAAATCAATCCCAATTAAATTCTCATTGGGTTTGATTTAATCTAATTACTCCTAACTGAAAGTTTTATTGACTACATGTAACGGAACCCCTTGGCAGCCATAACTGTCTCTTCCCAAGGCCCTCACTCCAGGATTTCCCTCTTTGGGAAAATCTTTAACTGCTGTCCATTTAATACAGCAAGTCTCCTCCTGCTATCCTGGATTCCCGAGAGGCTTATCCTGCTATCCAAGACCTCTCTGACTTGGGGAATGGCTGTCACATTTTCTGGATCTTGTCTAGCTGCAATTTGAAGCATTTCACGTGCCAAACTGGTGTTCCGATCTTCATTTGCTGCTGGTTATACACCTCTAAGTTGCTGTCCAGAAGTTGAGGCCTCTTTTCCTGAGATCCCAGCTCCACTACCTTACAAAACTGCTGTTCCAAGAAGACCAGGTTGCTGTCCACGTCGTTCCCAACTTGCAAACAACTTTGCCGGAGTGCGTACCCCCTCTTGTCTTTGGGTAACCTCGACACCCGACTATCTATCTTCATAGTTGCATCCTTGAATGTGAATTTTATTATCTTCATGAAGATCCTATTAATGCTTCTCCGCTAAAGCCTAGTAATTAGAAGTGTTGTGTGAGGGATCATTCATAGCCTAATCTTATTGTTAGTATTGGAATTTATTGTTGGAACAATCTACGTATGCAATGTTGGATTAAGATGGCTATCTTTTGAACTTAACTTCTATGCATGAGAATTAACCTAAGCTAAGTACCACTTAATATTTATCTTATCGTTCAATTCCGCATAAGATCTTACTTATTATTGCCTCTAAATCTAAGCGTGCAAACTTCTTTAAGCAAATCACCTTCGCATGGATTTTGTATCACATCAATAACTCTGCAATTAAGCGCGGAAAACAACTTTTTCCTAATTTCCACCACTCAACTAAAGAAGCAGAAATCAGAACAAGCAAGTAAACTGCCATTCTATTAAGCTATACTTTTCCAGATGTTAGCTATAAAGATTAATTGAGAATCAGAGATCACTAAATCATTGAGCATGACGACAGTTCCAAAGTAATTTGATTTCAAATTCTTTTGGTCGGATCAGTCAATATAAAGTGCTAAGTGCTAGCATCAGATGAAAAACCAAACTGATAAAAAGAAGAAATCAATATAAAAATGCAGCAATCCTGGATTATACCAACGAATAATGATCTCAATCATCGAGTAAAGGCATATATAAGGCAGGATAATATAGGAGGCATTTAAATCAGCAGAGTAGAACAACAACAAAGCAATATGAAGATAGCTCTGCAACCAAATGCAAAAAAGCAATATTTTCCTAATTTCCACCACTAAACTAAAGAGTTAGTGTCCATAACAACTAACAAGCAAGCAATTTCTAATGCTATTAAGCTATTATTTCCCAGATGGTAGCAGTAAGGATTAATTGAGATCACTGAATCACTGAACATGATAATAGTTTAATATGACTTCAAGTTCTTTTGACAAGATCAGTAAATGTAAAGTGCTACAATAAGACGACAACAACAAACAAATAAAAGAAGAAATCAATATAAAAAATGATATAAAAAATAAAGCTCGCACAAACCTGTCCAACGTTATAAGCAGACAAGGAAGGTAGAAGAAGACTAAGAGACGGCCGATTACCAGAAAAGGTCTGTTTATCATTCATAGAACCCACTATTATAAGGGACAAATATTGGAAATTTCAGCAAAGAAAAGAACCGATCACCTTATGAGGAATGAGGTGACTGGCCACATTCTCACTCTGTAGCTGTTCGGGGGACTAAAACCATAAAAAATTGGTAAGACAGATGACTTCCACACAACCTCAAAGCATAAGATTGAGGCTTTGTTTGGGACAGCTTTCTTACTGCTTCATAAAGCAGCTTTCTAGTACAAAAATTAAAATTGGTATACTAGAAAGCTGTTTTAAGAAGCAAAAAGAAAGTCATCCCAAACGAAGCTTGAGTCTCACCTTCCCATAAGCAAGAGCATCTGGTTGTGCAAAGAAATTAGACATGAGCTCATCATGATTGCTTACTATTTCTCCTGCAGAAGAAAAAATATAGACGAGCAGAAAACCATATCAGATCTACTATAGATCTATAAAAAGATTGGAGCATGCCTTCTGGAAAACTAATTGATATAGTTTTGACAAATCTGCAATACCTTTCAAATACACAGGCCGCTGGCTTTTGACAACGCCAATAAAATCACAAGGAATAACTCTTCCCTGAAATTTCACAAAAAGTTTCTCAACATAAAGAGCATGCATTTGAGTTTAATTTCTGAGAAAAGTATAAGTACGTTGGTTTTAGCATATGTATCAATAGACACATCCAACTCATGTATGACAATAATTACATAAGAACTTAAGTCCACGTTTAGAAGCTGAAAAATGCAGACAACCCGTGCATTGGCAGGGGCCTGGAGAGGAATATGATTAAAGCCGAGGACTCTATAATTTTCACCTTATATATGAAACATAATTAGTATGGATACTAATCTAAATAACCTTTTGCAGCTAACTATCCTTGTGGCATTCATTAACTCTATAAGGATGAAACTTAATAGTGAAAACTCAATGACATGAAATGAGTTGAACCCAAGGAGTAATCAAATCGCAAGTATGTCAATTAATAAGAGCATACACTTCAGTTTCCATTGCATGCTTCCACTTAGGGTTGAGGAGAGCTTATTAATGCATCCTGGGAATAAAGATAGTAGGCAAAGCAAAGAATAACCAATAAAAAAAGAGAGGATACATGATCAAATGGCATATAAGAGTGCAGTAGATGATTAATATAGGTGTTTACCTTTACATGGAGTCAGTGGCGAAGCCAGGATTATCTATCTAAGGGCACAAATTTCTAATTTAAAAAATACCATCAAGTTTTTTCATTCGAACTTGAAATTGACATTAAGGTTTTAATTTTTTTTATTATAGTTATTATAAGAAGATAAATTTTATAATAATGAAAAAATATATTGTCATGCTAATCTAAATTAATTTCAACAAAAATACATCTATCCCGTAGAAGCAGAGGGATTTGGATGCAAGCAATGACGAATGACATGTGAGAGATGTAGCATGTCGACAAGAAAAACAAGAAGGTTGTAAAGGGGATGGCCTCCTTGCTATAAATATCGGTTGACATGCAGATGAACATATTATATAAGCTTGTAGACAACACCAATTAACCTGCTGGAATATATGTTGTCTGCCAGCATGCACAGGATCTTCATAGCAGATGTGACAACCCATATATGGGCACTTGTAATAAGCGCAATGGTCCACCTAGGAGTAATGACTTGAAACATGTAACCAACACGACGAAGCTTCTTGCAAGCAAGAGCAAGAAGATTGTAGCGAGCGTGACACACTGCTTGCATGTAAAAGCAACGAGCCTGTGATAAATGCAAGCTCCTACAAGCCAATATCAAAGATCCGGTCCTGCATACAACATACTACCTGCAAAAGCAATGAGCCTGTGATAAATGAAGGCATCTACGAACCATCGCAGGAAATTCATCTTATATACAACGCTCACCCGCAAGAAGCAAATGACCTGCGATACAGTGCTATGGCCCACATGTAAGCCATGAGGGGAAATTTACAACAATAGCTACGGATCACTGGTGAACTGAAGCACTAAATTTATGACGCTAAGTTGACACTCCAGATAAATCGGTCTACTTGCAGACGATAGATGGAAGATTCCTGATATGTCGTATAGTGTATTTGCCGGCAAAAATGCAATCCTACAGGTTGAATGTTGATGAAAATGACAACATGCAAAGAATGAATGAGCCAAAACTACATTGTCAATGTGACAAATGAAATTCAACGTGCTGCTACGCCACGCCATCAGATCTTCAATATTCATACAAGTAAACAAAAGGTGTTTGTAAATGCCAAAATGAAATCATGCGCACTCAGCAACAATAGTCACTCGCATAGCCAAAACAGCATTTTACTCGCTGAATGCACACTTTGCATGACCAAATCATGACAAATGAAATTCAAAATGCATGCTAACACAATTAAATAAATACATATCTTTGCAATATGTACGACGTGTCATGCAAATGCACCATTCTGCGAGTAAAATGCATCATGCATATACAAGTTGTAATATACAAAATGCACTATGCATATACAAGTGTACGACACAAGCATATCATGGCTGCATATAGTTAGGGATGAGTAGACATGTTACATGAATCCTCACCTAACGTATGAATGTACCAAAAGCATATACATTGTTGCATGCAAAATACATGTTGCAATATGCAATATGCATCATACATACATATTGTACGCTACTGCATTAAGCTGCTACGCAACATGCAAAATATCATACAAGCATGCTTAAGGAACATGTAAATACAAAATACATCATACATGTATACATGAAGATACACAAATGCATCATGCAAAATACATATAAAAGTATACACTCGCGTGGGCCTCGACGAGTGTGTTGAATGCACATATATGATGTTTGAGGATGCTGCGTGGGTCAAACAATAAACTTAAGTTCAAGTCCGATCCTCTTATGCGAGTAGATAGGAGTCGACACAACTCGGATTGTTAAAAAAATATGCGATCGCAATGTCAACCGAGATATTTGTTTGAATACCTTCATATTAGGACTTCAAAGTCAATAAAAATGAAGATTCACTAATAAATGCATAAAGCCGGCGATGAACCAGATCCTCCGTCAGCAACTAGGTAGAGTCGACGAGGTTAGATAAACAAAATGAAAGTTGCTCATATGATGGCAATGTTGACAGAAAATCTCAACTGGAGGGGACCACAAACATTAAAAATGTCTTCCAAATTCTCAGAAAAATTAAAAATTTAAAAGTCACCAAAAACTAAAATATTTAAAATTGAAATAAAAACACCAAAATACTTAAAGCAAAACACTCATCCACCCTCCAAAATAATTTGCTAAGATGAATAAATATGAAAATTACTTCAGTTCACAAAGAGTGAATGTCTAGTCAAGAATATTACTATAATTTATTCTCAACCCGTCTCTTGCTAATAAGGACGTGGCACATATCCAAATGGCACCAAAGGTAAATGGTTATGACCGGGTGGTTTTGCCGTCAAATGGCACCGTTAAATTACAGTCATGGTCAGAGTCTGTTTGTTCCCCAATGACGTCAAATATTTGAGTATTGAATCAATAAGATACGATCGATAGGGTATAAAGCCCTCTATTAGCTAAGGTGGACTCAAATTTGCCCCCTTAGACAAATATACATCTCACGTCTACTAGGTACCCTTGGATGAAGCAATACATGGTTGTCAGTTGGGTAGACTACCTCCTCTTATTAAGTAGACCAAAGATCATGATGACTTAGAATGACGGAACCATGGGATCTTGATTGGGTCTATCATCATTCCCCCACTATCCACTTTAAGTGCAAGGTGGCGAATTTTTAATTATAAATATTAAATCGTAAATGCCTATACATGCTACTATACGCCAGATACTACTTATCTCTTAGAGGACTAGCTTTAATTAAAAGTTCTCTCTCACTATCTGGAGGGGTAATTAACTATAGAGGCTTGTGCCTATAAGAAACCTGAACTCATGTCATAAGTCCTCGCAAAATGAGGGTGAAATATCTAGGTAATGTCTTATTAAAAACATTGTCTTCTGAAAATTTACCTCGAAACTTAAATGTTAAAAATCTCATCGATGACCTAAATAAAGAAAGAGGTTGCGGAGTGGCCGGAGCGATAATTTTGGGAGCCCACATAGACCTAAAAAGACTTGGTTAGAAAAAATTAGAAATGACATTTCTTTATTACATTTAAATAAGAATTTAACTCTTAATATGACACAATGGAGAAAAAGGATTCATTTAGCCGACCCCATATAGTGGGATAAAGGCTTGATGTTGTTGGTGGTGTATCTTTTCATGTCTATCCCCTAGATTTCATATGTTTAAGAATTTATATTTTTTGTTCCAGAGTTTGAGATCCCAAGACTCTCTTTAGAGGAACAAATTCATGGTTGTTGATTGAGAATATCATGGTCGAATTGGGTCAACTTCCTTCACTGCGTAGTAATCATGAGCTTGATAACCTATGATGATGAATCCATGAAATCCTGATTAGGTTGTTTCTAGCTTTTCTTATATCATTTACCTTTGATCATCACCCTTTTTGTGCCCAATCACTCTAGTTGACTTCAATTTAGAACTTCCATATTACTTCATTATACCTTAACCATACTATCCCAATATCCGACCCCACGTAGTGGGATAAAGGCTTGATGTTGTTGTTGTTGTATCTCTTGTAGACCCAAAACTTTTTCATTCTTCATCTGCTTCAAAGCTATCCCATCTTCACTATTTTTTATCTTCACAGTAAATTTCTTCCTGGAAGCGCCATAAATATTTACAGGATCCATTATACTAACTCCCATTTAGCTGAAAATAACTAAAATTATCGCCACATTCTTAACTACTAAGCACACAAGATGCTTGAAAGCTTCGCATATGACCTCTGTAACTACTAAGCACCCCGTGCTTCTGCAAAAGAACACAATATCCACCAGCTATTTGAGCAAGAAGACCTAAGCTCTTTGCAGGTATAGAGATGTCCTCACTACGATCTATGAAGTGGCAGTCAGAGTAAGCCAAATGAGACAACTCACACTTAAAAGAGGAAATTCAGTTAGGTGAAGAAGAATATTTCTATAACATCATGATAAATCTTTCAATAAACATATTAACAGAAAGAATACAATGCAAAAGTCTAACCAACATCATAAGATTGTACACCCGAGCCACAATATGATTACTTTTATTCGAATTGCTACAAATTCAATAAAAGCATTCTTACCTGATGTATTAGCTGGTAAAAACTATGCTGACCATTTGTTCCAGGTTCTCCAAAATCAATTTCACCAGTTTCAAAAGGAAGCGGAATTCCATCAATGGATACACCCTTTCCATTACTTTCCATGCTCACCTATAGAAAATGATGTTGAGATTACAACATTAAAATTAAAAAGGTCAAGTAAACATAATGTAATTTACCATATCATTAATTAACTACCTGTTGAATATGTGGGGCAAACTTCTCTAGTGCTTGAGAGTATGGTAATATAGCCTGGAGACAGGAACAAGCAGAGTAAAAAAGAATAGGTTTGATTAACTGAATCAAACCCTGAAACGACTAAAGTTGAAGACCAAAAGCAATTAAAATAAACACTTGCTCACTCTTGCCGGAAACCCATGAAATGAAACATTCCATACACTCAATAAACCTAGAAGCACCTGAAAAAGGAATATAGAGAGGATTACCAATAGTAGTGATACGACTTAAGGATGGCATTTCTTCGCATGAATGGAAACTTACAGGTATATTTTTATCAAACGAAGTTGAATAGAAGTGGTCGTCAATGCTACGAGCTCCATTCAAAAACCTTTTTCAGCAACATAGAAATGTCAGTAGAGATTAAGCATGTATATTATCATTGCACTGTAAAATAAACTGAAACGGAACTTTTGGGTCTATGCATGCAATCAACCATATCGGTCAAGCCAACGATATCTCATCTGTGATTATGACTGTTACCTATGCATCTTTCCAAGCCATAAGTTAAGGATTTGGGAAAGGCATACTATAAAATAAATATTTACGGTCCAGTGGGAGAAACTAATATTGTTTCTTAGGCAAATTAGATATGTATTTATCAAACAGCAGAAACTAGACTTTTTATCATCCTCCAATACTAAAATTAATGATTTTTTTTTCTCAATCCTTTTATTTGACAAGAAGAAAGATTAAAAAAAATTATTTTTTCTTTCTTTAATTCTGCTGAGTTAAAAAACTGCAATTGATGGCCCACAAAAATGCATTTATCATTCAGGTAAATTACCAAACAAACCTTTAAAGCACGTAACTAACCATGATAGATATATTCCTTCAAGAAAATTTCAAACGAGAAATATTGCAAAAAAAACTACTTATTATTTAAAAAAATAACAAAACAAAATAAACGCCTGAGTTTCACAAAATGTTCTTCATAAATCTGAGCTCTTGATAAGATATTTTCTAGGACTTGCAAAAAAATTCACTGTTTCTTTGTCAAATAATATTGTTCAAGTTGCTCAATCAGTGCAACTTCCGAAGAAATAATATGAATAATCCTTGTCTACCACCAATCTTCATATTAAATTGCATCAGTAGCATGCCATATTACTAGCATACTCAGTGTTATGGAACTCTATTTCAAATAAGATCAGTTCGAATACGTTGACGTACTTTTCAATGATTGGAAAACCATATTGGAGAGATAAAGGCAGCACACCAACAGCACTACAAACTGCAAAAACAAGAATCCAACAACTCATTAGAAAAGAAAACCAAAACTCTGGCAAAATGCGGAATTAGAGGATGAATAATGATCATCACCACTATAGCGACCACCAACCCAGTCCCAAAAAGCAAAAGCATTATTCGGGTCAATCCCAAACTGTTCCACAAGCTACATAACAAAAACATAAAGATTAATGCAGTTTTAAACAAGGTATGGAATGAAAAGATAAATCGGTTACTTTTTTTTAAGGATAAATCGGTTACTTTCCTTGAAACATGGATTAGAACACTGAACATGGATATAGATACAAAGAACACCAAGTAAAACAATATCGTTCATGCAAGGAAAAGCTTTAAAGAAAGTTTAGCCATTACATGGACAATGCCATACCTTGCAAAAGAAACAAAAAAACAGAAGAATGAAATGAAAGAAAACAGATAAAGAGACAAATACGAGGCGTGCAAATAAAGAATGATATCATATTAAACAAAACATTGTGATTTAGTTTCAATTTTTATAGGTCTCCCAACCTTAGCATTTCATGCCAGTACAGCTTACAAATTTCTATAAAATACCATTCCATATGGTCTATACTCATAATGAACAACCATCTTGGTAATAAATTGCCTTTGATCTATGAGAAGACAACATACTGTTCTCATTCAAAGTCTTATAGCTAAGTAAAATAAAAAATTAAAAGATGAACTTTTTGAGATATATTAGTGTGAACTGAAAATGCAATGTATCATATAGAAGCTGGAAGTCACAGGATTGGACACAAGGAGTAATATAATCTTGGCGCACCTTCAGATTTGTACTGACAGCCACCATATGCTTTGCTATTGCCTGTCGGCTGAAGGGCAAGCTTTCATTAAGTTATAAAAATCAAATTAAGAAATAAAAAAAAATAAGAGAACCCATGAATTATACCCCAAAGCATCAGAAATCAATTCCCTCAATGTCCGAGCATTCAACATAGTTTCAGCTGTTGTAAAAGTTTTTGAAACTACAACGACTGCATAAATAAATGAGGACGAATGTTACATGATCAGAGAATTGCAACTACTGCAGAAAATCATAAAAATGAGTTAAGAAAAGTGGAAATCAAAGTTACCCAATGTAGTTTCAGGATTCAAACCAGTAATGCTTCGGGCAACATCAACCGGATCAACATTTGCAAGACTGCAGATAATAATTAAGAAAATATGTTGCATGACGCATATAATTTACTTTTCAAGAAGTGTTAGTACGGAAAATCAAACTTAGTTTAACTTTTAAAGATGGATAAGAAAATAGCCATATAATTTTCAGCCTTTAATAAATATAAGAATCACACCTAATTTGACACTGCAAAATTATAACTTGACTTCAAAAGAGAAGTGGATTTGCGTAAAGTCAGCAGCCACTACCATGGAACAAAGAGGCTGAAGGAGTAGTTAGTACCAAGGGAACTAAAAAAACAAAATAAGTTCAGAAGATCATCAAGTAGATTGTTCATGTTAGAATATTATGTAGGTTCCTTGTATTGGAAACAAATTATATTAGGGGGATATGATTTAATATGCACATTATAGAGATATTATTCTTTTTATTTGTTTCCTATTTGTAAGCCCTCATAGGTCTATTTATAGGCACACCATATTCAATTAATAATGCACAGAAATTATATTTCGCTAAACATGATATTACAGTAGGAAAACCCTAGTCTCCCTTTCTATTATCCTACAAACCGCACACCTACCCCACAATTTGCCAAATGTTGTCACCTGCTCTCTTGTGTTTGAAGGCATTATCGCCCACTCGTGCATGTTTTAAAAGCTATCACTTGCTCGTGTTTGCAAGTGTTGGCGTCCCCTCAGTCGCATGTTGCACCCTCTCATGCCTTACCTTGGATGGAACGCTTGTTGTCACTACCACACACTCACTCATGCCCCTTCCCTGCTCGCCTCTACCATTTGCCAAGCATCCACTTGCACTTGTGCTTAATGTCCTCACCAACATCTACATTGCACGCTATGTTATTTTGTGTCTTTCGCAAACTCAACTAAAGAAGGCTCTATAATTCGCAACCCTGCAACCGTTCTTTCTCATGTTCTTTGACTCAATGAGATATTGCCTCCATCTTGATCAACTTATGATCAAACTACCCTTGCTACAAGGCATTGTGGTTGGACATAGCAGTCAAAGTCGTGAGGGGCAAGGAGCCCTTCCTTCCATACTCTCCCTCTGTTCACACCAATCATCATTAGTAGTGATGTTAACTCAATTCTAACTATCCTCTTATTGCCTAACAACCACTGGACCGTATGATGAAGTTGATTAATCTCTCATGACTATCATTCCTTTAGGTTATGTCATGATCTCTTAGGAAGAATATGATTTCTTTCTCTATATTTAATTATTGTTATGCTTCCTCCTTTGGATTAATTGCAGTTGTCTCCTCAACTTTATCCTAAATTTTAGATTAAAGTACCTCACATTTCCTTATCCGAAAAAGATATACAAATCCTTCCAAAACTCTCTCTCTCTAAAGTTTCATAACAGTTTCGCATAAATTTATTTTGAATTCATTGTCTCACAATTATTTAATAATCTTCTATCCATCTGATTGTGTCAGCTCAAAGAGAATGAATAGTAGAGACGTGGAGGTATTGAAACCAGTCGGATCAATTCTTGATTATAAATTTCTTCCTATATATTCTTCATAATTACCATTGTTCACTAGCATATTGTCGGATATGCCATTCTCCTCCAAACAAACTTGAAGATTTTGTATATGGTTTTTCATCTATACCCAAATTTGAGTGGCATGCATGTGACATGGGAAGACACCGCCTTCTTTTATAACCTCCACCATTAGGCATCGTTCTCATCCTTTTGAGTTAATTTTGTCAGAAAGTTCAGGTATTTTAAGTTTTTTATCAAGAAATAAAAGTACAATTTTTTATCTTAATAAAAACCTTCCGTGCCAATAATACTTCAGAAAATTCATGCACTCTCCATTCTGCACCTACTTAATAGTATTATTCATCAAGCCTTAAGCTCCAATACCTTTCCATAAATGATGTTGTTGAATGCAAAAAAATTGTCACCGCATTCATGTTCTCAGGATATTGATATTTCACATAATTGTACCTCATCAATTTTGGGGATGTTGTCCTCACCCCCTGTCATCTCATCAATCACATCCCTTCTCCACTTTTTGATCACATCTTAGACATCTTCACTCTTTATCCCATTCAAGTCGTATTTTTCTTTACAATATTTTTTTTTCCTTACTATGTTCACTTGCTTCGCTAGCAAGCAATACTCTTGGCGAATATTCGGTGTATCTTCCTTGGGTGTTGTCGCATTCAAAAATGTTATCATCCTCATACATGACTACTATATTATTCTGTCAATTTAACATTTCATGAGATTACATATTTCTTTTCTCCCTCCATCTTTGAGCCCTCCTCACCCCATTTCCACTTTCCTTTAGAAGCCCCAATTCCTGCCTCTATACCCTTATAGGTATACTCTCGAGAACCTCAACCTTCATGCACGACAACATCTCCAAGCACATTGTCAAATTCAACTAAGCATCCATATGTTGATGAACCGTTTGACTTGCATTCACCTATAACCCTCTAGAGAGGTAAAAATCAACACGATATTCATCCCATTAACTCAAATATTTTATTTGATCATTTATCATTTCATTTAAAACATTTGCCCTATTTCTATCATTTGTATCTCATCCCAAGACAAATTAAGATGCGCTAGTGATTTTTATATAGAAACATGCTATGGATGTTGAAATGGATGCTCCTATTAGCTAGCAAGCTTAGGGTTTGATTCTTTCCCCTCTTGAGGTCAAACCAATTGCATATTAGTGGGTGTAATACCTGTGAAGCCAGCTGCCCATCCCGCAAATTCTTCAAAAATCCCTTCGCCAGCTACAATGTCTCATCCTACGACTCTGCAAACGGCGCCGTTGCAGTCGTCCTGTGATCTCCTCGATCTCGCTCCCATAAGCGTCGTTAAATACCCAACCGAAACCCTTCAGCGGCTCTTCCCTCTACTCTTCCCCGTTATTGCGTCTGATTCGTTCAGTCCACACAGAGAAGCCAAGAGAGAGAGAGAGAGAGGGAGCTCAAATCCCTTATACTTATATATATATATATATATATTTCTTTAAAATAATAAAACCGCGGTGTCATTTTGACACCTACCTGAAGCGCTCACGTAGCGTCGAGGGGAAGGTTGCCTCTTGGTTTCTCCCCTAAATGGGGGAGACGCCGGGAGGCTACCGAAAATTCATTTAAAAAATGCTGAGGACTTGAACGAAAAAGGACTTGGACTTGGACTTGATTGAACTCAAAAGAGCTTGAGCATTTGAACTTGAAGATAAAGATTTGGACCGTAGCAAATTTGACATTGAATACTTGAACTCAAAGGACAACAGGGGACTTTTAGACTTGGACATAATTCATATAATTTGAACTTGAATAAAATGCATAAAGAATTTAAGTTCAAACAAATTATAATAAGTCTAAATTTGAATTCAAATGAATAATGACAAGGGATCTAAGTGCATTGCAAAAGACTTTGAACCACACTTAACTTGATCAAATCATGAAATGAATGATTTGAACACAAGCAAAGGGGTTGAAGACTCATTTTGGAACTCAAACTAATTGAGATCTCAGTGGATATGACTTGGACCATTTGAACTCAAAATTCAAATGATCAAAAGACTCAAATCAAAGTTAATTTGAACTTGCACTTGAATTCAACAAGGTTATTTGGGACTTGAACTTACAAGCATTTGACTCAAATGAGCAAGTTTTGGAAATGAACAAGGCTACTTGGAATTGGACTTGAATGTGCCTAGAACTTGAATGAACCTAAGCATAATTCATTAAACTTGAGATCAAGTTTGACTTTGGTTTGAACATGATCGAAACAAATGAGCAATGAAGGACTTCAATATGTTAAAGAATTTTTAGGAGATGTCATTCAATCCCTATGCAAACAAATAAAGTTGCTTGCCCTCTGACATGGAACTCCTTGGACAACAACAATCAAATGATCGTAAGTGGAAGTGGAAGTGCATATTCAAATTAGCAAATATCAAATTCATCGTATACGAGCAACCTAAAGTGAGTGTATAAGATGAGTGCATGTTATTCATCTCAATCATGAATGCCATATTCACAAAGAACATATGAAGAATGTGAAGTGAATAGCAAGGCTTCCTTCCAATCAATGGCAACCAGCTCGTAGATGAATATAGTGATTATCTAAAAGCACAAAAAGCTGAAACATATAAACATGGTAGGCTGCTAATAAATTCAATGATTTGCTGGCTAATGTACACGAAAGGGATATGCTCCATATATGACGAGTCTCCAATGCATGTGGATACTTGTGTGAGGTGTCATTCGTGAGAAATGACAGAAGGAACTTTCTAATGCAGAACAATATACTTATAGGTGGCAATCAACAACATGCAGTGAATGTTATAACACTCCTACAATCAGCAATAATCCAGTACTAAGCAAATAAACTAGCTCCCTACAAGCAAGAGTAAAGGGTCCTTGTAAGAGATTCGACATACACACTAAATGTTGTCCACAAGCAGAATGCCAAAAGGGGCACAGCAAAAAAAACCAGCCATACATGTAAAATATCACCTACAAACAACATGCAAAATGACTACAACAAATGCAAATATTCATGGACCACTGTAGAAGATTCGTAGTACACCCAGTCTATTCCCCACAAGCAAGATACAAAGTGACGATATCAAGTGCAAGTGCTTACGAGTTACAGTGGAAAATCATCGTGCATACAACAAGCTATCTATGGGCATCAACAAATATAAGGCAGGAGATTAGTTAGTGCACTAAAATCTACCTGCGCAAATCATGCAAGTAGTACACGACAGTCTACCTGTATGAAGCAGCGAACAACTCTATTCAGAAGCTGCTAAGCCACGCCACCGGATCCGCAACTTCTATGCAAGCGAACAGAAGTCGTCTACAAATACTTTCAAAGCACCCCCGCATGTGCACCATAGTTTGTATACACATAGGTATACTAAAAGGGGTAAAAGCAATCATAAAACCCACATGGGCCCCAACGAGCGTGTTATTGGTACACACGTGGCGTCTAGGGATGCTGCGCGGGTTAGTAAATTTGAATCCGATCCTCCTAAGCAAGTAAAAGGGAGTCGACAGGGTATAATTATAAAATGCCCACAAAATCCGCATGGACCCCGGCGAGCGTGTTATTAATACACACGTGACGTCTAGGGATGTTGCGCGGGTCGATAACTGAATTCAAGTTCGAACCCGATCCTTCTATACAAATCAATAGGAGTCGACAGTGTTCGAACCTTCAAATAAATACACGGACAAGACCGGTGTGTTTATTTTAATGCATTCATATTAGGTCTTTAAAACCTAAAATCAATAAAATTCACTAACAAAGACATAAAGCCTACGAAATCTGATCATCTGTCGACAGCCAGACAGAGTCGACAAGGTTAAAGCTACAACTGAAAATGCCCTCAAACACCCCGATGATGGCCGTGTTGAATAGAAAATCTCAACTGGAGGGGTTTACAAACAATTTCAAATGCCTTTCTAGATCCACCCAAATACCCATGAAAATCCAAAAATCCAGAAATTCCCAAAATCCAAAATATTTAAAATCGAAACAACACTATCAAACACTTAAAAGCAAAATCAATCCACCATTCGCAACAGTTTGCCGGAGTGGACAAATCAAAATTTAATTCAGCTCACATAGAGCTAAATGCCTAGTCGAAAATATCACTGGGATCCATTCTCAAATAATCTCCTGCTATTAAGGACGTGGTACGTGTCCTCTAACCGACGATTTTGCCGCCAAATGGCACCGCAGGATAAACGGTTATGACCTGAGGCCCTCTGAACCGAGTGGTTTTGCCGTCAAATGACACCACGAAATACTGGTTATGGCCAGAGCCAATATGTTCCTTAGTGGCATCAAATCCTTGAGATATGAATCAATAGGGTATGAACGATAGGGCACAAAGCCTTCTATTAGCTAAGGTGGATTCAAATTTGTCCCCTTAGACAAATATTTACCCCAGGTCTACAAGGTACCCTTGGACGAAGCAACCCATGGCTACTGACAATGATACTTATGTCAGGTTGGGTCGACTACCTCCTCTGACTAAGTAGACCAGGGATCACGATGGCCCGGGATGACGGAACCATGGGATCTTGATCGGGACTATCATTCATTCCCCTACCATCCGCTTTAAGTGGAAGATGGTGCAATTTCTATTTTAAATATCAAAATCTTCAAACCCTTCAAAGTTTTCCAAATTCCCAAATTTCCAAACCTCTAAACACCTCAAATCTCAATACCCAATGCTGCTATTATATGCCAGATATGTATTCTCTACGTATCTGATTGACGACTAGTCTTAATCGAAAGTTTTCTCTCGTGATCGGGAGAGGTAATTAACTATAGGGGCTTGCGCCTATAGGAAACCAGAACTCAGATCATAAAGTCCTCACAAAATGAGGGCGAAATCTTTGGGTAGTGTCTTATCTACAAACTCATCTGTCTTCCAAAATTTACCCCAGAACTTATTCTGTTAAAACTCTCTCGCTAAAGAAAAAGCAAACAAAACGCGGCGGGGAGGCCGGGGCTGAATTTTCGGAGCCCACACAATCACAACAAAACTCAATTGTCAATGGATTCACCAAAGTCTACTTTCACACTTTTTCCTCAATTGAACTGCTAAACTCCATCAAAATTACTTTATTTTTATCTGTGAATCAAGATTGGACTATGCTACAAATGGATGTATGTCATGCTTCCTGTAAGGTGGCCTATAATAATAATCAGAGCTTCTGATAGAATCAACATCTTTTGTGCCTGCACTTGCTAGACTCAAGGATATGGCCACCACGTTGCCAACAAGCATGAAATATTGATCCTAATCCACCTAATATGCATTCCCCTCATCTCCTTCTTGCAATTGAAGATGTAAATGATCATGTTTTAGAGTAGTCTTATGATTATGATGGGAGTCGCCAAAGCATTGATGCGTGGTGAAAGGAGATTTCAAATTTTGGTTGCCAAGCAAACGACGACGACGACAACAACAACAACAAGCTTTTATCACACTATGTGGGGTCGGATATATAAATCTTTTTTCTCCATTGTGCTCAAGCAGACAATGACAAACAAAAAATGCCCCACTAGATTCACCAAGCTTCTAACAAGCCATTCTAAGTGAGATTTTATGTATTTTTCCCTTTTGGCTAAAGGATTTTTCATCTTATGCCTTCATGACATCTATAATTTTATTTATCCCCAGCATTTCGTTGCAATTTTCTCATGCTATATTCAAATCATTAACTAGTTATAAAATTATGCTTTAAGAAAAAACTCTCAAGTATGTTGCTTAAAGGGAGAATCACATAAATCTACCCAATAAAGTGATGATCCTAGCTTACATTAGCCACCATAATAGCTCTGTAGATATTTCTATCTTTATCAAACATAATATTGCAAATTCTATCATACAATTTTATATTGATGACATCTTACTTATTAAAAGTGATCTTAATGTTATCTCCAAGCTAAACAATACTTGTAAAGATGCTTTATCTAAAAAGAACTAAAAGGATCCACCTACTTTCTTGGAATTAAATTTGTTTGATAAAAAAAAAGTAAAACTATCTTAAAGGAAATATATTTATATGCTATTGTTCTTCTTGAAGAAACAAGACATCTTGATTGTAAGCTGTTGATACCATTATGGAGACTCAAACCACTTCAGATGGCAAAGAATCTCTTTCTCATCCATCTTAAATGTTAATTGGTATACAAATTTATCTAATTCTACTAAGCATGACATTTCTTTTGTGATTAGACTGATAAAGAGCCACTTGTTGATCGGAGAAATTTTTTTAAATGATGTACGTTGCTAACTATTTTGTCGAAAACAAAACCCAAAAAATAAAAATTTAGATATGATGACAAACATTTGGTAACCCAACGGCTGGCTCTGACGGGGCAAATCCACTTGGCAGAGGGTCTAACTGGTCAGAAGTTGGCATTCGAACGCAGGTGGGACGGGTCAGGTCTTGGGACGGGTCATGTCTTGGGCTTGGATGGATGGGTCTAGTCACAAGTTGGGAGGCAAGTCGTTGCCTTTCTTAATGACTAGCCCCATTTAATTTTTTTTTTTTTTTTTGCGAAATGATACGGTCCTTATTGGCATCAAATCCTTGAGATATGAATCAATATGATATGATTGATAAGGCACAAAGCCCTCTGTTAGCTAAGGTGGATTCAAATTTGTCCCCTTAGACAAACATTCAACCCCGGTCTACAAGGTCCCCTTGGACGAAGCAACCCATGGCTGCCAACAAGGATCCTTCTGTCAGGTTGGGTCGACTACCTCCTCTGACTAAGTAGACCAGGGACCACGATGGCCCGGGACGACGGAACCATGGGATCTTGATCGGGTCCATCATCCATTCCCCCACCATCCGCTTTTAAGTACAAGATGGTGCAATTTCTATTTTTAAATATAAAATTCTCCCAAATATCCCAATCCAATTCTCCAAACTTCCAAAATCCAAATTCCAAACCTATTGCTGCTACTATATGCCAGATAACACGTATACTCTGCGTATCTGATCGATGACTAGCCTTAATTGAAAGTTCTCTCTCGTGATCGGGAGGGGTAATTAACTATAGGGGCTTGCGCCTATAGGAAACCAGAACTCAGATCATAAAGTCCTCGCAAATGAGGGCGAAATCTCTGGGTAGTGCCTTATCTACAAACCCATCTGCCTTCCGAAATTTACCTCGCAACTTAGTTCGTTAAAACTCCCCTCGCTCAGATAAAAAAAGAAATCGCGCGGCGGGGAGGCCGGGGCCGAATTTTCGGAGCCCACAATGAATCTTTTTTCTCGAGTCCTATTAAGAGTCAAATTATTAAGAGTAAAATTCTCATTTGAATCTAAAAAAAAATGTAATTTCTAATACCTTCTAACCAAACCTTTTTAAGTATACCTCTACCTTTCTTAACATATACCGGATCTAATACATTTACTCTCCTAACATAATCATCAGAAGGCTGACGTTTTATGTGACCAAAGCATCTAAGTCGACTCTCTCTAATCTTATATGCTACTGGAGCACTCAAACCTTTTCATGTATATACTCATTTTACATTCTATCTCTAAGTGTTAAGCACTCATCCACCTGAGCATCCTCATCTCTGCAACACTTAACTTAATTTTATGCTACTCTTTTAAATGGCCAACTAAACACTAATATAAATCCACTTGCTTATGACTCAATTTTTATCTAGTAGTATCAAATCAGTTGTTGAATCCTATGTGCCAGGTCTGCATAAGCAGGTCTCTATTTTATACTACCAAATTTAAATTGCTTGAGAACTCAATAGCTTCACGATTGTGGCATACCACGCAGGAACGCCAATTTGTTTAAAACAGAAATACCATGTTAAACTTCTTTGCATAAAGTTATCTTGACACTGCGGCACTTGTAGTAAAGAGCTACCTCTGTAATATGATTTACCCTTAGCAATGCATATTCCAGACTTAAACACTTGGCCAAAATTTGATACAAAGACTTGGGGAAATAATTTCCAAATCAAATTGTCCCAGATCAAAATAAAATTAATAACAAAAGAAGCAAGGGATCCATCATGGACATCTAGTTATAGCTGCCAAAGCACTTCAATTGAAAGAATGCTTTAGACAAAGACATTGCATGATCCTGCGTTAAGATAACATACTCATGAAAATTAACACCATTACATGTGAGTTTCAGACATCCTAAGAAGCACAATAAAAACACTTATATTAATAAAAATGTAACAGCATTGTTAGTAGCATACATACTGAAGGAGCCATCCATAATATTGATAAAAATCAAAGGTCCTGTTAAAACTTGGGCTTTGTGCTTTGAATTAAAGCATGATTTACTAAATAGTAATTCAAACCATATAAGTGTTAAGCACTTACAAACGGAGTTGTCTCCCTTTTGCAAACTCTGCAGCCTGAGGATCTAAGATATTTTAGGAAGAAAGAATCATACATTTTCAGTAGCTTATAATTATCGAAAAACAAGGGCATAAATTTGAGTTGCACTTGATTGACTCATGCATAGAATTTCATATTGCAGATAGAAGATTGCATTCATTGTACCAGTCTGAAGAGCAGTATGCACAAATAAAGGTCCAAGAAAGCTTCCACCAATACCCACAGCTATTACATCCTTCAATGGTTTTCCTGTTGCTCCAACCTGATGCCATTGTATGCCAAACAATCAACCATGACATTTTTTATATGGAGCACATGAACAATTCTTTGTTTCTTACCCATGAACCACTTCGAACCCTTTCAGAGAAGTCATTGATCTTTTCTATTACATGCCAAACATCTGGAACCACATTCCTCCCATCACTACGAATAACTGAATCCCTTGCAGCACGCAAAGCTATATGCAGCACAGACCTGTCCTCGGTACTGTTTATCTGAAATTTCATATGCAGTTTTATATAGCCACAGAATGTATAAGTTAGAAGGGTGGAAAACTCTGAATTTAGAGAAGTGAGGGCATGCATGCACTCCGCACACGGAAGATGTAATAGATATAATATTCTGGCTAATATAATATTCTACCTAAATGAGTCATTAAGCATTTTCAAATGTATCCTTGATGATTTACATGATAGGTTTGGTATAAAGGGAGAAGAAAATGAGATATCTAGAATAAAATATACAAGATCGAATCACTTTAATCAAGTTAGATGCATTAGAAGTGAAGATAATATGATCTTGATTAAAGATGAACAAATCAAAGAAAGATATAAAATATTACTTAGAGAATTACTAAATAAAAATTTTAAGAAAGAAATTATTTTGGAAGAACATAATGAACAACACAATGAAGCATAATATAGAATGATCCAAAAAAATGAAAAGGTAGTTAGCTCTAAAGAAGATGCATCAAGTATTGAGTTGTAGGCCTAGATGAGATGGCTTGTTGAGATTTGGAGAGTTATAAAGGATATTATGGTAATTTGATTAATAAATCTTTTTAATAGAAGTTTAAAGACAAAGAGGATACCAAATGATTGGAGAAAAAAATCTTTTGGCACTAATGTTCAAGAACAAACGTGAAGTTCAAGATTATGCTAACTATAGGGGAAATAAAATTTATGAGTTATACATCAAAGCTATGGAACACAGGTTTAAAAAAATTAAGACAATTTTGGAGAACTAATTTGATTTCATGCAAGAAAGATCTATCACGGAAGCAATTTGTATTAACAAAATTAATGGAAAACTATAGGGAGTAAAGAAAATATCTCTATATATTTTTATAGATCTTGAGAAGTCATACAATATCACAACAATTGATTTGGTGCATATTACAACACAATGGTGAGTATCAAATATATGTTAACATTATTAAAGATATATGTATAAAGCACTAAGTAGTATTAGAATTAATTGTGGAGTAACCCAAGAATTTTGAATTACAAGAGGTTTACATCAAGGATCGTCATTTAGTCCATATGTTTTTGTATTATTTATAGAGATACTTACAAAGGATATTCAAAGTGAAGCATCATGACACATTTTTTTGCAAATGACATAGTTCTAATTGGTGAAACATTCACCAAAATAATTTAAAATAAAAATAATGAAGAAAATATTCAAAAGAAAGAGAAATTATAACTAATAGAATGAATACTAAGTATAAGATATATAATTTTAGTAGGGTATATTAACAATTATTAATCAATGTAATTAGACAATGAGATTATATCTATGTGTGATAAACTCAAGTATATATATCCATTATATAAAATAATGAATATATAGATGTGAATATAACTTCCAGAGTTAAAACTAGATGGTTAAAATAGAGAAGCATCTCAAGAGTATTATAAGATATGAGCGATATCATGAAGATTAAAAAGTAAATTTTATAAAACCGTAATTAAGCAACCGATGTTATATAGATATGAATGTTGGACAATAAAAAATCATTGAAGTCAAAATTGAGGGTGCATAAATGAGAAGTAAAATGGATATATGACAAAATTATAAGTGATAAATTAAGAAATTATTATATTAAAAGAACAACAAGAGTGAAATATATTGAATGAAAAATAATTAAAAATAGACTTCCGTGATTTAAGCACATATAATGAAAGGTGAAAAATACTTCCATTAGATTAGATGAGTAAATAAAATTAGAGTTAGAGGATTAGGTAAGAGAATGAGATAGGCCCATGCTTGCGTGGATAGAAGTTGTTCAAAATAATTTGTAAATAATAAATGTAAGATCTCAAACATTACTAAACAAGAACGAATGAAAAATGAGTATTATAAAGTCAACCCCAAATAGTTGAAATAATCCTAACGATGATGATGAGAAGGATCAACAAGCAAAACTCAAGGAAAAAGATGAGTAATAAAAGTTCATTAATATAGCTTATGCGAAGTCTAATAAAAACATACATAAGAACCCAACTATTATCAAGTTTAAATCTTTTCCCTTAAAGAAGGAACTTAAAACAAAGATTGAATCCCAAAAATCTGCGGAAAAATGATCATAAAAGACAATAATAGTAGCCGGTTAAAAAAAAGGCATGTCTGTGAAACAATAGATAGCAGCCGTGTAAATCTTTTCCCTTAAGTAGTATAAATATTGATTGAAGAGAAAATAGTGTGGCATGATAACCTTCTAATGCAAACGGCATCTAAAGCAAATTAAGAAAAAAAAATATTTTGAAATTCAAATGAAACCATAATATTGTTCACATAGAAATATCTATCCGGATATCTTGCTTACATGCTCTCCATTGTACATTCTATTAATCTTCTCTCTAAGATGAGCTGCCTGTAATAACATACAAGAAGAAGTATTGGCAGAAAACCTCAATTTACAAGAGCAATATTTAATGAACCAAATAAAATAGCACCTCTGCCAACTTGAAAAGTTTCTCCATTGTTTCCTGGTCTGCACACTGCCTAGAATAGTCCAAAATTATCCCATCATACTCCCTGTTAGAGAGTTTATTAAGAAAATGAAAGAGGGGAATCGAAGATTCTTCAAGCAACATTAAGTCCTTTGGCCTACTCCATTCTACAAAATAAAACTTGCTTCATACTTAGATAAATTAACAAAATTTAAAATTAAAAAAAAAAAAATCATACACCATCATTGATTTGCACCGCTCAACATCAGCCAGGAGATCACGCAAGTGCATCCTTTTTATCTCCTCGACGTTTCCCTGCATAATGAACCATTTAGTGTTGAATCAAATTATAGCCGAAATAATAACTCGAAACGAAGAATTATACCTTCAAGTCTTGCCATTCCACCGCATCACAAATCAGAGTAGGCGACATAATAATCTGCAGCCATTGAGCGAAATAATTGGATGGGTAAATGCACACAACTATAAACTTACGAAACTCTGAAAGTACAGAGATAAACAAAAATCAATAAATAAAGTTGATTGGACTATCAACAAACAGAAAGGAGACTAAACTACAACATGGTAGGAAAAAATGATAGATAAAACGAGACACCAAAAATCAAAGGGAGGTGATATTCTAAAAGCATTCAGAAACTTCATTTAAAACCCACAGACATTCATTGCCACTCCCACTTTATCAAAGAACCAATACACACAATTTACAAGTTTCTCCTGAAATAGGCATCGGAAAGATTTGATCGCCGAATTATGAGATGAAGCATCAGCGATTACTGGATTGGATGCCGAAACTAGTAAGATCGAGGAGAGTTGTAGTTTAAAAGGCTTACCTTCTCGTGTCCTCGTGTGGAAGGATAGTGGTTGAACGCCAATCTCTAACCCAGTGATCAGGTGCCCGTGGTTTCTCTTTTTATATATCCATACTTCGTCGGGGAATCGGATATGCCTTGGATTCGCTTACTCTGGTTCGCTCGCTCTGTGGTTGGTCCGAGGTGAAAGATTGCAAAGAGACTTCCCTTTATTTTATTTTATGAAATCGGCACCTATAAAAGTAAATTAGCAAAAGAGCCCGATTTCTAAAATTTCCCAAAGCAACTGTAAAATTCTGCGTTTCGAATCTATATTTCTTCTTGAATTGTCGTTTCAAAATAGGTAAAGAGTCGGGTTTGGATCCGACTATAAATTGATAAATTCAAATTTAATTAATTCGAATCCGACCTACCTAATAAACAGATCAAAATGGTGAATCTAATCCAACTCGATCGATATTAATTTAAATTATCAGAACAAAACTAGACTTGATAATCCATTTTAATTAAAAAAATTGTAAGTTATTAACTATAGAATTTAAGTTAATTGATCAAAAATATAAAGATCGTACTTATAAACAAAAGAAATTTTAAAAAAGTGTTAAAATCAAGTTCATCGGTTAACCTAAACCCGACTTATTTAATAAATAGTTCAGAATTTGATACCCGAGTATAATTTGTTTATTTAACAGGTTAATACGAACACAAATTTTTCAAGTTGTGGCATGATTGGACTAATATGTCGAGTCATTTATTGACACCCCTAAATTAGAAATACAAATTTCTTTTTTTTTTTTGGTTATTGAATTGAAGATCTATTAGTTGTGCCTAACTATGTGACACATATTTGAAGTAATGCTATTAGAAATTTTCTATAATTTAACATGTTAGATTATAATGAGATGAAATGCATGCATTTCATCAATTATATCAACTCATTAAAATATAATATATAGTTAATCATTTTCATCATTATGGTGATAATTATTTTAAGAGCAAATTCATAGTCAAATTTAGCATAATTAAAATTTAATGAAACATTATGAATTAATTATCTATATAGCATATGTATAGTTAGATTTAGGCTTAGTTTGGGATGGATTTCTAACTATTTCTTAAAGCAGCTTTTTAAATTGCTGCTTTAAGAAGCAGTAAGAAAGTCATCCCAAATGTTATTTTAACAGTTTAAGTGGATTATCTTGTTCACTTCCTTTCATAAGAAGTCCTTATACCTCTAAGGATTTTAAGCTTTACATCTTTTTATGTCAACCCTATAAATTTTGTCTATTTATGAACTTATGTTTGTTTCCATGGTTTGAGGTGACAAAGCTTATTTTGGATTTGAAATTCATGGTTGTTGGTAAAGCACCACATGATCAAACCATGTTAACTAAATTCACAGCTAAGTGAACTTAAGCTTAACAATATTTGAGATTCATTAAGGTTACCAAATTTTTCTAATGAATTCAACATTTATTAGCTTTTAAACTTCATAAGGGATAGGCTTATCCAAAACTACTATGACTTATCAAATCTTTCTGTTGAAATCAAGGAGGAAGATCTTAAGAGATCTTCTTGCAAGATCTAGAGAGGGAGAGAGGAGGAGGGAGAGGGAAACCGTGAGCCAAAAAAGTCAGCAATCTTTATTCCCTTGGCTGCCTATTACAAGCCTAAACACACTTATTTAAAGACTCCTAAAGGCTATACAAATAGCTTCACAAATGGCTACATATGCCATGCAAAAAACCTATACAAAAACAAACCTAAAAATCTGGAATAATATCTAACACTTTCATTTGATGGGACAAACTAATTTCATTATGTCGAGCTAATGTCAGGAAACATTCACCTCCGCCTCTAGTATCTCGGTCATCGATCAGGAGAATACTTAACAGTTCTCTTTGAGGGCTTTAATAAGGTTGCCTTATTACTGTTCATCAAATGAGTTAGAGATTCAAAGAGTTTCAAAAAGCTAGCTTTGCTTCTCATTAAAGATGGAAATATTTTCAATGGCCTCTATTATCTTAAGGCTTACTTTTCCTTGGATTTTAGGTTGGAGGAACTCCCTTTGCATGCTCTTTATAATTTTTAGGTATCAAATCCTTTACTATGATAAGTTTTTCTTAACAATGACCTCATATTAACATATTGGGAACTTAACTATAATTTTGTAAGTGGATACAAAACTTTAAATATATTGAGGAGGGGACAACATAAAATTGTGTTGTAAGTCAATAAGGCATTTACTATGATGCATTTGATCAGCTCATTCTAACTTCCACCCAAAATAATTGACAATGGGATTATGCTTTCATTTTCTTACACTCAACAAAAAATTTATAAAGTACTCCAAAAGTGGGCATTAACCTAAGAAAATATGGGGCCAATTCTCAAAAATAAATTTACAAATAATATTGAAAAAATTCTTGTGTCACCAAGAATATTCACATTTAATCCTTGCCCAAGTGATGTGGGCAACTTTTTCCTTTCTTACTAGATATGCATAGAATTTTAAACATTTGAATCTCACTTCTTATGGTGATAATATTGATGTTGGGGTTGTTAATGATGGGTTGATATTGTTGATAGTGGAAACAAGAAGTTTAAGGCTTCGTTTGTTTTTTTGGTGCTTTTGTAAAAGACAGTTTTAAAAAACATTAGTTCAGAAAATGGAGTTTTGTAACAGAGAAGCATATATAAAAAGCTTTCTCAAAACTGCAGAAAAATGAAAAAAAAAAATGAGTTATTAGGAACGTGATTTGACGAACCAAACAACACAAAAAAAAATTCCTCTGTTTCCAAAAACGGAAAAGGCAAAAAAACGCTCAAACAAACAAAGCCTAAGTAAGCCTCTATTTTCTTAGCTGACTTTATCTATTCATATGAAGTTGTTCAACACTCCATATTAGATTAAAGTCTCATGACTGGCTCAAATTTGGCCAACTCATAGTGAATATTGTGATGTTATATTCTCAATCATTGATTTGGCTGTTAACATGGTTGGGTAGCTCGATTGAGATATTCGACCATTTCAAATTGAGTGTATATTAAAAATTTCCTTCCCACGGACCATTGGTAAGTACTACTTGAGATACAAACAGCTTTAAGCTCTTTTTCCAACATCTCTCTCGTTAAAATTTTATGATAAAATTTTTTTAAGGACTCATCTTACCACTTTTGAATAAAGCATGTGAGTTCTTTAGTGGCCTCTAGGCATATGAGAATTATATAATGAAGTCTTTTGAAATTTTGATAAATGAGACAATGCTTCTCAAAGAAACATGATTAAAACACCATAGTGGTGATGCATTAAAGGTGGTGGAGTATAATCTACATGCTAGTGATCCTCAAAGGAATTGACATGATCAGACGAGACTATTTTCCCTTTGTATGAGCCCAAATGAATGATTTTGAATTTTGAATTTTGGAATGCACCTTAACAATTTCTCTATAGAATAAATTAGCTAAAATCCATCAATGTTTGTCAGCTCTTTTGCAAACTAGTGTTCTTGTTGATGTCTTATGGGTAATAAGTTTAATATGCTACAAAGGCCGATCGAGAATAACATGCTACAAAGGCCAATCGAGAATAACATGCAATGACATGATAGTCGTCATATGAGAGGGGAGTCTATGGATTTGCTGTTAGAAATGATTACTAAGGGACTCCTTTAGGAATCCTGTCTAAAGCACCTTGGATCATCATTGTGAGTCTTTTTTCAAATTAGGCAAGTTGTCTGGTGGTGAAAAATCTTTAGTTATCTATCCCAACTGATTCTTCTCATTCTAGTTGTTCTTATTTTATAAATACAAAGCGTGACTATTGGTCATTAGCATCAATCCATGCTCATTACACCTTAAAAAAATGTTGAATCAAGATTTTTCATGTGAGACATGTTGATCTTACTAATAAGATAAACTAAGAAACGAATACGAGTGAAAAAATGAGAGAGAGAGAGAGAGAGAGAGAGAGAGAGAGAGAGAGAGAGAGAGAGAGAGAGAGAGGGTTAGGAGAGAAACTTTATGGCTTCTTATCACTAGAAAGTACATAAATTGAGGCTAAAATTTGTGCCCCATGTTGGCCATCTAAAGATAATATTTCATTTAAGAAATATACATAAATTATATGATACATTAAATATGTCAATTTTGGCTATTAACTACATTAAATACTTATTTAAAAGTTGCAATATATGAGATGGATTTACATAAATCGATGACTAACTTCATCTTATTTGATTGAGTTTTAGCAAATGATTATGTTTAAAGCCTTAGATGAATTTGTCTGGTCAACTTATGGGGCCAAGTAGACAAAGGAGTTGCTTTGATGTCTTTGCACCGTTTTAATCATGGTATAATTTGATATTGCCAACGAGTCCATCACAGCGATAGCAGCTCCTTTTGGTCAATTATGGGTTTGATGAAGCCTTTGTGTATGTCAAGTTCAAGCTAATGGATTCAGTGAGTCAACTCCTTGTAGTTGGATAAGTTGACTTGAACTTGACTTGAGTGATTTTGATTCTGCAATAAGATAGATTATTTAATTGGATATAAGTATAAATTATTCCAAAATTTGCAAAGTGTTTTAGAACTCTCCTATAAATCATGATTTAAGGTATTTTAGAGAAGCTTTTTACATTTTTTTTTTTTACAACTATTATAATTATATTTAGTAATAGTTTTTTTTTTTTTAAATTGTGTGGTGTAAAGCATCTTTTAATAATAAGATCATTTAGATTTTGAAAACTATAAGAAGATAATTATCATAATATTCATAAGTACTTTTAAAAAATAAAATATTTTCATAATAAGCCTACAACTATTTTAAGATAGAGCTGCACAGCTCCAATTTAATGGACTCCTAATTATCTCAAATAAAATGGTTCTATTCGCATTGGGCCAGCAGTTGATCTTGATGGGCTTTGTTAGTTATGGGCTTGTATATACTCAATATCTATTTATAGAATTATAATTTTCATTTTTTTATTACATAAATACAAAAATTTACATCAAAATCTCACCCTATCTATTTAACTTTCATCAAATTTACAATATTTTTATTGCAACACATTAATACATGAATTTGATAGGTTATTATTTTGAGGTCAATGCTGTAAATATACCTAATATAAATGGCATTTGCACTCAAAATAGTATTT